AGTTCAGACATATATATTTCACTCAGTGGGCACAGGGTCAAAGCAAAGACTTGACCATGGCAGGTAACTGGATTTCAATGCACAATGCCAAATACCAGAAGCTTCCTTGGAGATGTCCATTTCCACTCTCCATATTGCTACAGTGGGACAAGTACTTTACTTCTCCACACTCTGAGGCTGGGCACTTAACATTTCTCTAATTCAATTCTGCTTTAGTCTCATTATACATAGGATTCCTAATAAAAATGCAAGGGATTTTCTTTTGCTTCTGTATTTATACAGCCTTTCAGGGAGTAAAAATTAAGAAGTTGTAACTTAACCTTTTGTACAACCTGAACAGGAGTAAGTGTTTTGGAACTTCTACTACAGTTTTCATATGGAAGGCATGACAGGAAGGTATATACATGTGCAATAAAGCACTCTCCAGGGACAGACTAAACAAAGCACCCCACCCCTCTTCTCTTCAATCAGGAAGTTCTCAGCCAGAAGACAAGAAAAGAAGTTTTGCCAAGACCATTGCTCATCCTGGAAAAACAAGGATCCGGATACCAATTACCACAAACTTAAACGTATTTGATGTACCAGCCACATAAATATGAACAATAAGAAAGTATTAGCATTAACAACAAGAGTAGTCATTTGTTGGCTTGATGACTAAGAAAAGATTTGCCCTTTTTCCCCCCACCTTCACTGCTCCACTTGCCAAAAATAATAAAGCCAAGGATAGGGCAGCACTACACAAGTCTTGTGTGACTTGTGTCCACAGGGCCTGTTGGACAGCAGAGTGACTGAAGTGCTTATCTTGGAGTGCCCAACCTGAAGCACCAGGCTGTACAGGAGCTGCTACTGCTTTGTGTGACCTGCTTCCCACAGGAGGTGAAGAAAGGGACCTAGGCCAGGGGAGTCATACGCTGGGAGCCATCAGGCTGATGTTTATAGCTTCTATCAAGGGTTAAACAGAGCTAGTTCAACAGACATGGGGGTTTACAAGGGCCACAGGAACAAAGTGCAGCTGCCTCAGCATGTCATCAGTGCAGGAATGTCCTGGAGAGGTGTACAGACCCACCAGGATGCAAGACCAATCACCCAAGCACAAACAGGTGCCTTGGTCATCAGGCAATGGGGGACAGGCCACAACACAGCCCCAGAACACTCTGAGGCAGCACATGGGCACATCCTAGGCACAGAGTGAGGGCCACTGACATAAATGATGTGACAGGTCTTGCCACACTACAAAGGTTTGCCAGTTTCTTCTCTTTTTTGTAATGGCATTCATATATAAAGGAAAAAATAAAAGTCTTCTTGTAGGCTTATTTACATTTCAGTCTAGAGAATGCTGAGGTGAACTACCAAAACAGAACATTGCCGGTGCAAAGAAAGCTCACAGCTGCATTATATTATTTAAATACATTTTGCTTCCCAACAGACACAGCTTTAGCCCTACATAACACACCTTTCCAAGAATTATCTTACCTATCATGATGAACTGAGAGTCTGGTGTGAATGATGCCTCCAGCGTGACAGCTTTACTATTGTTATAACCCTATGGTACAAAACAGGAGAACATGTAATAGAGAGTGTGCCCACAGCAATCTCATAACCAAAGGGCACCTGCTCCCAAAACTAACACCAAGTTCCAAGCCAGCACCACAGTCAGCATGCTCACCCCAAAGGTATGCAGGACAGCTCCTTTAAAGGCATCGATGAGCCGAATGAAGCCACCGTTTGTCGATATGAGGATGAGTTTCCCATCATTACTGAACTTCAGGCCTGTCCACTCACATGTTCTATCATACTGCATCTTAAACGTAGCAAATGGCCCCTTCAAAGAGAACATGGGCAATATGATCATAAAATCACAATTTTAGTTTAGTCCCAAACCCCTGCCATGGGCAAGGACATCTCCCACCAGACCAGGCTGCTCAAGGCCTCATCCAGCCTGGCTTTAAACACTGCCAGGGCTGGGGCAGCCACAGCCTCCCTGGGCAACCTGTCCCAGTGTCTCACCATCCTCACAGGAAAAAAACTTTTTTATAATATCCAACCTAAACTTCCTCCTCTTCAATTTGAACCCATTACCCCTTGTCCCATCATTGCAGTTCCTAACAAGGATTCCCTCTCCAGCTCCTTGTAGGCCCTTCAGACATTGAAAAGCTGCTATGAGGTCTCCACGCAGTCTTCTCTTCTCCAGGCTGAACAGACCCAACTTCCTCAGCCAGTCCTCATAGGGGAAATGCTCCAGTCCTCTAATCAACTTTGTGGCTTCCTCTGGACTTGCTCCAACAGTTCCATGTCCTTCGTACATTGAGGACACCAGAACTGCACACAGTATTCCAGGTGGGTCTCACAAGAGCAGAGTAGAGGGGGAGGATCACCTCTTTCAACCTGCTGGCCACACTCCTTTTGATGCAGCCCAGAATTTGATTGGCTTTCTGGGCTGCAAGCGCACACCGCAGCTCATAGTGAGCTTCTCATCTGTCACTCCCAAGTCTTTCTCCTCACTGCTGGTTTCAATTACTTTCCCACCCAACCTGTAGCTGTGCCTGGGATTGCCACAGTCCAGATGTAGGACCTTGCACCTCATTTTGTTGAGCTCCATGAGGTTTGCATTGTTCCACCTCTCAAGCCTGTCAAGGTCCCTCTGGATGGCACATCCCTTCCCTCCAGCTGTGACTGCCCCACACACTTGGTGTGGTCAGTGAACTTGCTGAGGGTGCACTCAATCCACTGTCCATGTCACCAACAAAGATGTGGAACAGTATTGGCCCCAGCACCAACCCCTGAGGGACACCACTCCTCACTGGCCTCCATGTGGACAGTGAGCCACTGACCACAATTCTGTGTGCAACCATCCAGCCAGTGCTCCACCCATCAAATCCATGTCTCTCCAATTTGGAGACAAGGATGTCATGCAGGACAGTGTCAAATGCTTTGCATAAAGCAATGTAGACTTTGTATGCACTGCTGCTAACAAGAGTTTGCTTTTAACCTTAACTCAGAAAAATGCTTAAGAATTTTTAAAAGAAGATCTTCGGCCCTAAGATACCAAAGGACAGTTGTCATAGCAAACACACATCACCACATGTGTGAGTTTCAACATAGGGATCCACAGATCCCAAAGCAAAAAAGAGTCAGAGTAAGGTATTTCAACTGAACAGTTCCATACTCTAACTGAATAGTTCCATACTCTGCCACATTCAGCCACAGAAATTAATTTAAGGTAGGATGAAGTTTTCAAACAAGTCTGCTGAATCAAGTTAAAGGAAAAGCTTGAGCCAGTGTTATTCTAATCCAACTTTTTGAAAACCATGGAACTAAGTATGCTCAGTGCTTATAGTCAGCTCAGCTGCCCACCCAATCACTGTTTCCTTTGACATTTCCATCCTTTCTAACAACTCTGGCTTCACCTTCACCAGTGTTCTGCCGGAATAAGCAGCAAGGAAAAAAGAAACCAAAAAACTATAACCCCACAATAAAAAACCTAAACAGGAGTTTACATGAGGTCAAAGCATTAGCAGAAGTACAATTTAACATTGGTTCAAGAGTGCATTTCAGGATTTGGTGACAGCATGTATCCCTTTCTGTCTGTGAGATGTGTGCTTACTGAGAACTCTCTGGATGTCAGGTGGGCACCCTAGACAATAAGTACAGAAATCCAGTCTCTGAGCACTGAGTTGAGACTATTTCTTGCAAGAGAAGAAGTGTAAGAAGTGAAGTTAGGGTCGCTCACCTTGTCAAAAGAACGGAGATCATAAAGCTTCACCATTTCAGAATTGACTCCAGCAGCAAAAATTAACCCTTCTGGGTCAAAAGAACACACAGGCTTCCCTTGGAGATGCATTAAACCCTAGAACATAGAAATAGCCGAAATTATTTTGCAAAATATTTCTACCACCACCCTTTGACCCCAGTGTGAGCAGAACAGCAATCCTAGGGGTGCAACAACTGAACTTCAATTGTGAATATTACGGTTTTATACAGGTTCAGACTTAGCTCCTCAACATGCAGAGGTCATCATGCACAGCTCCTAGTTTGCTTCATTGACAAAGTTCACATTAGAACAAATCCAGACCTCATTCAGGGTGTCATCCACTCAAAAAGTACCCAGAGAAGGGAAGCTGCTGTGGCTGTATTAATAACCATACCAGACAGCACCACAAAACACCACTGCAATGTTCTACCACTTATGGCTGCACAGGAGGGGAAAAATACTTTGAAAGCAAGTACAAACAGCTCCAGTGAGTATCACTGCTGAGCTTTCCATGCCTTTTAATGAAAACTCACACCTTCTGGAAGCCAGCACACCTTACATATCAAAACTGACAGATTACTACCAGTGTTTATTTTTAATGTTAACTTTTCCTTACTGTACATAGTGAAAACACTTGAGAAAATTTGGTAAAAGCCAACAAGATAGACAATTTTCTGTATCCTGACTGGCAAATCTGTGTTAGTCAAATGTCTTTATGTGTATGCACATAAACAATAACATGTCCTTGATTAAATCCATAATTACATTTAAGAAGTTTCTGCATTTTTCTTTCTTTATGAATTCTTCTCAAGGTAAGTCTAGAGACCTTACTACTTCTCTTCTTCCCTACCTAGGTCAGTTTTCCCTGTGATCTCTGCAGGTGAAGCAGTGAGCAAACCGATGCTCAGGGCCCTGTCGAGTGGGCCAGCTCTTCTTTCCCAGTATTCCAGGCAGTGCGGCTGCCATCTCACGGGCCAACTGAAAACTACAAGTAACACTTCAACCTGTTTGCTAAATTTGGCTGGATGCAGCTTCCAGCTAGTTACAAGTCCTAGTTTTACCATTCTTACAACTTCAGGCATTAGCACAAATCACAGAACTGCTACTGAATTTACAACCTCATCTCGTTTGTAGCAACTTGGAGACTGAGACTCATCCCAAGGGAAACTTACACACTGGCATTAAAGGCATACTCCCAAAGAAAGGCAAAATTGAAATTTGTCAGAAAAACCTTGGGTTTAAGTAGGACAAAACAGTTTTGTAAGAAATGTAACTTCTTCCTTTTGTATTTACAGTTACATCACCAGGAATAAGCAAACAGTCCTCTCTTGTAAGCAAAAAGGTCTCAGTGAGATGGGAAAATATGAGAGCACAGCACTATGTGTCCAGATACAGTAACAAAACAGACCTCCACCAATAATACAGGTGGAGATGCTACTCCCCATCTTTCATTCCTGCCCCTGCTGCCAGCTCTGGTACTTCTCGCAGCCCACACAAGCCTGCTAAAAGCCAAGTATTCCCATAAAGTATGCCAGCAAAATAAAGAAATGAAAACAAATGGGGCTCTGCCTTGCTAGAAAGTTAAATCTGCTCTGATGAACAACAAAGGTGATGCAAGGAGGTGGCAGACCATATGGCTGCTGCTGCTTTAGATCACCCAGGTTTCACTTCAAATTTAACTGCATCAAGGCAGCAACTTTTAACACACACTACACTCAGATAAGATGCATTCCCAATCCAGGAGGGATGACAGCTAAGAGAGAACACCCTCTGCATAGGGTAGCAGCCTGATGAACAGGCTGATGACACCCAGCCCTTCTCCTGTTTCATCAGCTGTGGGTGTCATTCCTTGCTCTCCCCAGCAGGCACAAAGGTGAGAGTGAGTGCTGTTACACAATGCGACACACATACTGCACAGAGATTCCTGATCCAGGATCCTTCAGCATTCAACACTAAATCAGCAGCACACACTTCTGGCAGTATTTTTGCTTTGTAACAAGCACGCATCCACTTTTTGTCCTTCTAGCTTAAAATGCAACACACCATGCATATTAATTTTATATCCTACCTGGCAATTAGGAGAGCGAAGATCCCAGAGCCGAATAGTTTTATCCAGGGATCCAGAAATAAATGTATCATCCACTGGAGACATTGAAAGAGCAACCACTCTGCAACACAGGAGACCACATGCATCAAAGAGATACAAAATATGTGAATGGAGCAACCCCCACCTTGTCAGTGATGTACAAGGCAGTAACTGGCATGAACCAAGCAAAAAGCAGTGTGAACCAAGCCTAAAGGAACTTGAGCTGGTTACAGTTGTTATTTCCGTATGTCCTGTCCTGTTTCCAAGCCACATCTTACCTCTTTGTGTGCCCCGGGAAGTATCGAATGTATTTGTTGTCATGCAGGGAGAGGTATCGGATTGTATCTGAAAACATGAACACAAGTTGTATTATACCATAAACCCAATGCTACCTGCAACTGATCGCACAGTAACTTGCTCCTCAAAGCAACAGCAACCTCAGTCTGGTCATTTGATTTATAGATTTTGAAACAGAATCAAGTTAGAAACAGACATAGACCACCTCTGTTTTCAAGGCAGAACTGAAAATCAGGCAACAGGATAAGATACTTCCCAGTCTGAAGTCATGTTACATCTTAAAGACAAACCGTCCCAAGATTTATGCAAGGTAATTTCAAAAGTGCAAAAATGTAAGTAGCAGCAGGTTTTGTTGCATCAGTCTCACAAAATGGAGAGTATCAAATCTACAAAGTTGATGTTACCACTTTTTATTGCTATGCAGCATGAATCTTACTCCTGCCTACATACACATTCAGCAAATTAACCTCCAACTAAACAGAACACTGTCCTGGGTTGCAGTGTGGGGGTAGCCAATGGTATGTATTCTATTGTTTCCACAAGGGTTAAAGCAAGTGGGGCACAGGCACCCTTTTTTACCTGCTGGATCTCATGAGGACAAGGGGCTGCTGCTGAAACCTTCGGGAGAGAGTCGGATCTGCGGGACCACTGCTCCGACAGACCCATCACTCCAGGAGGACTGCAGCCACCATTCAATCGGACTGCTATCAACGCCCTGACTGACAGGGTGTCGGGTTACTTGCTGACTGTCAGTGGTTTCTTTCTTTTGGGTTGTTAATTTGTACTGTTAAATTTGTTGTTGTTTTGTTTGTGTTTCATATTAAATTGTACTTCTGACTCAGAGTCTCTCACCGGTTTGCTTTCAAACCAGCACACACACACAGGAAATGTGCAAGTTCTGGCATTCAGCTAAAGATAAAAGACAAAAACATGAATTTCAAAGTCAGGACAAGAGCATTAAAAACTAGCAAATCTCCCTTCTTTCTGTTTAATCTGACAATCAACAGCTTCACACTTTCTCTGCACTTCCAGTAGCTAAGCTTTAAGAAAGACAGAGAAGGAGTAATCTAAAGCTTAGGCCACTTAAAGCAATCTTAAAAATAAATTGAATAAATCAGAGCAGCACCACAACATTTCTCAAGTGCCAATTTTATCCTGAGTATAGGTGAATGTAGCAAGAGTAGCCCACAATTCTGGAAGATGCTGTTGAGGCTTTCTCCCAAAATTAAGAGAAATCCTTCCAGGGGAAACAATTACTAAAGCACAGAAGCCACTTTTTAATCTTTATGTGCAGACTCTGTACTGCTGGAACACCAAGTCCTGCTGAGGCTCCAAAGACAAATTGAGGGAAAAGGACATTTTTACTTTTGACTCAGAAGAACAAGAGCCAAGAGGATGCAACATGGACTGACCATTTTAACATTCAGAAGGGCCACTGTGTTCAGAGCATTCTGAAAGGCTCATTCAGCAAAATTTTGTATCTGTGAAAAATTATCAAGTTCCTATTTTTGCCTGAGGTTTCCCCATCCAGCTGAGATGGCAGGTCTAAGCCACCCTCCGGTATCTGACAAGAAAGCTGATGGTGACTGAACAAGCTGCAAACCTGGTACTGGTGACACACCATTCTGAAAGGCTCTAAGTGACCCGAGGTGACTGTCCAAAAAATCCCCAATGCTGGTGTCACGTCCCATCCTGGATAGAGCTGATACGCTTCAAACATGCTGGTAAGATCCACCTCTAGTTTTTGCTGCAAGAACTGTCATTACCTGATTTCTGAAGTATCCACGCAGAATTTCATCTTCTTTGCTAAGAGGAAGCACTGGAAACTGTGCTCCTTTGTGCTGCTCACTGCTGGCAGTGCTCTGTCCCAGGCAAGGCAGTGGCCTGTACAGTTATCTCCTGTACCGGGTGGTATCATAGACCCTCAAACTGTACAAACTACTACCTCAGCCTGGAATCAGGCAAGAGAAGCTACATCCAAAGGTCTTGAGGAAATCTTCACATGTGGATCAGTAGGAACTCCAACAAACAAAATGTTTGGAAACAAGCACCAGCACTCCCATAGCATGTTCCTGAGTTAATTTTCCCTCCCAATACCTGCACAACAGGTTAAGTACAATGCACCTTGCCCAAGGCTGTATGCATTAGGGACTACAGAGTATCTGGACCCATACACACTGTCAGGTCTACTAGGGTTACAGTTCATAACAGCAACAAATATTCTCACATTCTATATTTTTCTTTTCTTCTAATTAAGTATTTATCACAATGCTACCTGCAGGATGCAGACTTAAGTCTTATGGCTTACCAGTACTTATAAACAAAAACTCACAACTCAAAATGACATTAAAAATGCTTCATTGTTAATTGTAAAGTAAACAATGGCCAAATAAAAAAAATGTGACAAAGTAATAACATAACTAAAAAAATAAGTAGGCTGCAAAACAAACAAAAAAGGCAAGTGCTTCCTGTCACACTTTAATCCTTTTACACCATTAAATCCAATTCTGTTGGAGACTTCCTTGTTCCTCTAGTTTCAGGCCCAGCTCGCTCTAGTTTAACCTGACATCCTAACTCTTAACTTCCATCTGCTCTAAATTCAGTCTGCTCCATTCCTTTAGTACCTAGCACACACCACAAGACACCAGTATTTCTACTGTCAAGCTCCATCTCTGCACAGGAAAAACCAAACCAGCACTGATCCAGAAATGATTATGAGTTTACAAATACAGCGTTAAAAGCCATTTGTAAAGTGCTGTGCTAAGACTTGTTCACTGCAAACTCTCAGACACTGATTACTACAAACAAAACTGAGACACAATTTGAAATAAACATGAGCTGTTTCCAGCCTTATGAAGAATTAAGGTACATATCTGTGCCAGTTCTTAAATTTGAATTTTAAATCAAATGCATTAATAGAGAGCCTGTCATGAAGCTCTAGAAGCCCTTCAATGTCAGTGATTTAGAGTGTAGCCATCACAGACATTGACTGTGGAGAAACAGCATGAAAATGGGTGTTCTGTCTAATACATGGAAAAAAAACAGATTATGAGAAGCAAAGCTAATCTCTGTGACCTCCTCCAGGCTTGGCTGGTGATCTGCTGAGTTACCTGAACCTCCTGCCCTCCCTCCTCTGCAGCTGAGCTGTGTGTACCAGCCAGAGCTATGGCCTTTAGCCCTCCTTGTGGCACCTGCTCTTTCCACCTCACTCGTGCATAAGAAATTAAGGGGCAGAGGCTGACTGACAGCACTGGTATCAAACACCAAGTGAACAGCAGGATCCAGAGCCCAACTTTCATGGCACTAACAATGTTTAATCCCTCAGTTATTGCAGCAGTGAACAAAACCCACATCAGCATGCTCCAGAGACTCTCACTGAGCTGTGCATCAGTGTAGAACATTAGTTCCTCTGCCTCTGACAGGGAGCTCATCACTGAATGGTTGCTGCAACTTTTTCCCAAATCTTTAGAGCTATTTATCCAGACATGTAGTGTAAAGAGAATAAATATGCACCACTCCAGTGGATCACTTACCATCTATTTTGTTGGAGCTGTACACAACAGTGTTGGCAGCATGTGTGTACCTGATGAGGTCCACTCCATACTTCTTACTGTACAGTGTTCTCTTTGGTCTGTCAGGAGGAAGCAGAAATAATTGCACTCACTGCAACCAAAAGCTCAAAACAAAACTCACATGAACAAGTGTTTCCATTGAGATATTACAAGACTGTTTCAAGTAGTCAGATGGTTTTATACAAAGAAAGAAAAGCTTTCCTATTTGATTTTCAAACAAGGACTTTGGTGCTTTCTTGAAGACCATCCCTAGGCTTAAGAAGCTCCCTTTAACACCTGCAAAACGCACTTATTTGTCTTCTCAAAAAATTTCTTTTCCCATGGTATCTAGTGTAAAAAGAAAAGGAGGAGCCAACATAAGAAGCACAGCAAGCAGCACTGCCTCACTGTGCCCTTGCCTATCCAAATCTCCCAACTCATCCGCAGCTTATTTAAGATTGAGAATAATTTGTCTTTTTGTTCTCTGCTACTTCAAACCCTAGAACAGGGTGTCTCATTCAGAACAAGAGCCTTTTGGTATTAACCCAAACACCTATATATACCAGTAGGCTATAAAAGAAATGGTAACACAAGGACTTTTCAAAGGACCGCAGAATTACATTTGTATCCTATTTTAAGGCATGAAACTCAAAGGCAACACTTTGCAATAGAATTCAAGACATTCTAGTGAAAGTGAACACAAGATACAGAACTGATTTTTTAGGGGTCTGGCAAGCAAATGATGTACTGTGGTACTAGGAACTTAAATTGCAGAGTACACTTAGCGGCAGCTGGTTAGTAAGGTATGTCACAGCAGTGGCACCTGTTTGAGCAGTGGAAGGTCTCCACCACCCTCCTTCCCCTTTCGCCCTCAGAGGTAGCGCAGAGGTTTCAAATCTGGGCAGTCAACCAAGGAGGACACTGATCAACACCACAAACATCAGCTCTTCCGGGAGTTATTTTTAATCCAGAAATTTGTATCTCTGGTTACTACACAGGCCCACAAAATGTTTTAGCAACACAACCAAAGAGGACAGCCTGGGAATGGAAACAAGCAGCAGGAGCGATCGAAACTAATACTGCTGCCAAGAGAAAGGTTTATCAGACTACACCCTCAGACAAGGTATTTCTCACATGCTGGACTTTTTCCTTCTTTTCATTAGTCTCAAACTGACACACCCAAACGAGCAAAAGTTGGAGACTTTTCATATCAGCACAGAAATACGACATTCATTCTTAAGGATGAATTCTCAAACACCAGAAACCACGGGGCTCTGACTTCAAACGAACTGCTGGGAACAAACTTCCATTAAGTGAAAGCCAATACAGCAAGTGTAATGAAAACCCCACACCACCTGTACCACAGACCAAATCTCAACTGATCCTTCCCCATTTCCTCCAGTAGATTTTAAAATCAATTTTTAGATGAAAATATGCCACACACTGAAAACAACACACCAAATGTAAGTTTTAACACTAAAATTCTATAATGTTATGCCTGATATACTTCCCCATATTGCTGTCTGTAGTTACCTCAGCTGTGCTGCTGACCAAATTAGGTGAAAACAACCCCAATAAGAAACCAACAACACAACCCCAATCTCAAAACATAGCAAGACTTTCATGCCTAGTTTGGCTCTTCCTTTTCTATTAAAAGTTTAAAGCTCAGAAGGTCCACTCAGAATAAATGAATACACACCAGAGAATATACACAGAGATCAACAGATGGACAAAACCACATTTGCCAAAAAGAAGGAAAAAAGGACTTCTGTGTTTTAGGAAAGGTGAAGTTTCATGTAAGCTGATACAAGCAGAAACACGTCACTGCACACAAGACCAAGCGCCTGTTCCCAACGGACTATTTTAAATATAAACAAGAAAACTTTGTTTTTTTAAACAAATCACAATCACTAAACATAATTCCAAGGTCAGGGTTAATCTGCCCAGCCCACCTGCAAACCAGGCAAATTCGAAAAAGGAAAATATGAGATCACGGTCAAATCTGCTACAAAGATGAAACAGAACAAAGTGAGGTCTGTAATAACATCTGTGCCTTGGTTTGAGTCACTACTGCTGCAAGTAAAACCATCACCAGAACCAGATCAGTGATGTGCCCAGCAAACACCACAGCTAAGCAGGAGTCACATCCATCCCTTTACCTGACATAAAACACTAGCTAAGCCTTTGCTGGAGCACCATTCTTTCATACCAGGGTTACAAATGAGCAGTCAGGAGCCTCCAGGATTGCTGCACATCCCAACAGACAACTGTCCAACAAGTTTTCAGAGCCCCTTCGTAAGTCCTAGCATACACATGTGGGCCAGTGGGCCATGCTCTGAGCCAGCCTGCTCTGGAGGGACTTGGTGATGCAGGATGGGGTAAAAAAATAACAGTAGGAGTTTAGTTGTTTACACAGCTTGGAGCAGAAGTGGAATCTCAGGTCCAAAGTTACTGGATGCTCATGAATAAGCAGTTGGCTAAGCTAAGAACATACATGATAAGGAGATAATCTTGTCCTGTCAGCCCCTGGCTACACAGCACTGTTGCAACCGTCCTGACTCCTATAGAAACTGAAGCTGACAGAGGAGGAGCTTGGTCACACTGGGAACGACTCTCATAGCTGGTTTTTGTACGGCAAACCAAAAGTGCCTGCTCCCAACCCAATATAGATGACTATACCTAAAGTGTAACCAGACACAGTTACATTTCAATTCCCCCAGCAGATCTGCTCGTTAGCAGGGGACACACCCTTCAAATTCTCCCACTTTCACATGGGGCAAGGTTTGAACCTTCAGGCCATTCAATGAAGTTGGGAACCTTACATTGACACCCAGCAAGCAGGATATTTCCTCACGGCCATTACATCCATGAGCAGTGGCATGTACAAGAAGGTGAGAGTCCCAAGCCCTTGAAATGGGGATTTATAAGACCAAAAAAAAAACCAAACAAAAAAACCCCACACCAACAAACTATAGGTCTGAAACTGCCACAACAAGGATCAATCACAAAGTTAACTTTCCATCTTCACATATCTCCAGTAACTACGTACACAGCTAAAACTTTCCAGGTGAGGGGAAAAAATGTGTCCTGCATCCCCAGGTACCTCTAAAAATCACACGCTTAAGTCAGTTGACAGCACATGAGAAACTTTTAAACTAATATTATAATGCACAGCCCCCAGAGCACTGCACCCTGACACAGGGGGTACCTTGATGCAACTACTCTCACTGCCCTGCAGCATTGCAGTGGATGACCATTGATCTACACTCAACTTAATTAAAGCAAACCCCCTGACTGCACAGCACACATCAGGACTAGATGGAGATCGGAATGAAAGCACCAAATGCATCCCAACCCATCAAACTATTCTTTACAAGTTTGAAAGGGGAATAGCAATCAATACCATCTGCATTAACATCACTCAGCCCTTCTACTACTGTGTGTAATTAGTATCTAGGACACAATCCATGGCAGACACCAAATCTATGAAGTTACCTGTCCTTACATTAATACAACCTAAATAATTCCATGTATGACTTCACACTATCAGATGGGGAACACCAACAACTGTAATGTGTAAAGCAAGCAAAATAAACAGAAGCCTAAACTAACACAATACGTGCTTACAAAATTAAGAGAATATGCAAGATGCAGCTTTCATCCCAGTACACAGGATGTCTTAGTCAGCTTGGAAAAGTGGAAGAACTAAGAACACATGGTTTGCTAGAAAATACACACCACACTGACAGATCTACATCCTGATCCTCCCAAGCCATTTCTTTATTACCATGTCCTTTCTGTTCCCTCTCCTACAATACACATACTCATTTTCCTTTCACTTTCTGTGGATGTGGAAAAATTACCTCAGAACAGCATCCCTACACCAAGAAGATGTAAATTCAAACCTAAAATTTAGAGCAGCCAAATGCAAACTTGTACCAAGTGAGAAAGACTGTAAGGGAGTAATGACGCCATTTGGCTCAAATGTGTACCTTCCAAGCCATCAAGTGTCACTGTCTGCAGGTTTCCATCCTCTAAACAGCAGCATCAGAGCCCAAGTGCTCTGCAAATTTCTGGGGGTTTACCCAAAAAACAAGACAAGCATCATGTAAACAATGAAAGCTAAACTGGAAAACTGTGTTCAGTGAGAGGCACAGACACAGTTCATTGCCCTTAAGTAAGAGAAGTCAATAACACCTTGGTTGGTTAAACATAAATTAAAACAACGTTTGAAAACACACGTAAACCACACGTGTATTTTAAGTGCGCTTTACAGATAAAAACACATCTAGAGAAAAGGATTTAAAGCACACAGGACCTTTACCTCCAGCATTCCCAGACACCTCGTGAGAACTGGGTTTTAAGGAAAACACTACCAGGATTTCAGAACTTACAGTAACACACAGAACACCATCTGCACCTTTTGCCTTAAAGCATTTACCTAAGGAAATGGAGGCTGTTTAAGCCGGCACATCTGCACAGCAATCGTCTCTTTTAATCAGCGAGCTTTAAGCACAGAGGAGCCCGAGCAGTCAGTTTCCCATCTGCAACAATCCCGAGGCCTGGAAATGTGACCGGACTCCAGCCCTTAAGCTTAACAATTGTTTCTCTCTCACTTAAGTGAACTCTCTGCCACACTTAGGGAACTACCATGGCTGCATTCAGGCTACCGAGGTAACATGTAGGGACACTCCTAGCGCAGGCAAAACCTTCACTGCGCCTCCGTTAACCGCCCAGAATCGCAGCCCTATACTAGAAAACAACGCAAGAGACGCTCCAGCTGAGGCTCAGCGTCCAGACCTGACACCTCCTGGCTGCGGGGATGAGCACAGCTCCTTCC